TTTGAGTCTAATATTTTAAATCTGTTTCAGGATTAACCTTAATTAAAAGAAATTATCCAAGTGAGCATGAGAAAAGGAAAAGGAAAAAAAGATGAGGCTGATCGCTTGGCAATAGTTCTACCACAAATGCAGACAACCACAACATTTCTCAAAAAGCAAAAACCAGAAGAACAATCTGAAAGCATACATAGTAGTGTCAAAGATTTTACATCATCAAGCCAGTTAATTCATAGTTCATTACATGTAGATAGATCATAAGCAATGGACCTTGAAATACAAGCCTCTAAAGATGAAGGTCAAATGGATACAGAGGCACTAGTTAAGATGGATAAAAATGATCCCATTGTAAATCCTGGTCTGCTAAGTGACATTGTTGCATGGCCTATTCCAGCTACAAATGAAATGTATGAGTACTGGACCAGGAAGAGAAATGTTGCACACAAAACCCTAATAACAATGCAGGCAAATGGCTTTATGAAATCATCACTTGATAACAGACAATGTACAGTTCCTTCAGAAATCAGCCAATGGTGAGTAAACTGGACGTATGTGGTTGTGCTATTCAGGTATCACTGGTTGCCTCTACTGTTTTGAATGCAAACTATCTGAATGCTGATAATAGCCTCAATGACTGGAAGCATGCTAGTGAAAGGCTTAATGAGCATGAAAAGTCAAAAGGTCATGCCTGTGCATTGCTTAGCTATGCACAACATGCCGACACCATTGACCATTTAGATTTCGCTATGAAAAAGCATGTTGAGGATACAACCACCTATTGGATAAAATTAATACAGTGCCTAATCAGTATCATAACACTACTTTCTGAGTGTGGTCTGGCATTTAGAGATGACAACCAAACTGTTGGTTCTTCACATATTGGAAACTATCTAGGACTGTTAGACATTATTGCAGAATATGATGGATTTCTGGCACAGCATATCCAAAAATTTGAACCAAATTGCCATGGGACAAAAGTGCTTTACCAATTTTGCTTGAATGAGGATGGATTCTGATATACTGCATGATTTAGACTTATCAGGTATTATACGTGTTTGCTTCTGAGAAAGCCCAATAGGTTTTACTTTGATTATGTAATGTTGTCTGTTGGTTGTCTTACATATTATATTTTTCATTATATTCTATCCACATATGCAAATTCAGTATTCAGATGAATAAACAGTTATTATAAATTGTATAATGAATAACATTGTATGTTGGTTTTTAGTTGTACTTTTTACCCCACTTATATCTATGAAAATTTTTTTATGAAATTTTGGCAAAGTAGATTGTATACGTAATAGCAAACCATATGAAAAGTATCAAAAGGGCCCCTAAAATTAACCCTTACCCTTGGCTCCCTTTTTTCCTAAGTTTGATCCAAACAATGATATTTTAACATATATATATATATATCACACTACCCTGTTTCTATAAAAATACATCAAAGAAGAATAACACAAGTCATCAAGTTCAGTACACAATAAATCAAACATTTGTGCTGTACAGCTTACTATACTAATATACAAGTTTCTCTGTGAAATATATAATAAGTGTTGTTTGCTTATATTATAACATTTCAAAAACTTGCTTGAATAGATTACTCTCTCCAATCCTTCTTTTAGTGTAATGTGTTTACAGTAGATGTTCAGTTAAATTTTACATATTTATTCATCTTCCACATGCTTATTTTTTCTTTTGGTGAAAAGTGAATAATGTTTCAAATCATCATTTGGAAAATGTTGTTACTCTGTAAAATGGTATTACACTATGATGTGAACAAGGGTCTGTAGCCAACAAAAACCAATGACAATAATAGGTTGGATGTTATAGCAAATTGTAGCATTGCCCAGAATTAACTAAGGACTATAATTGGCCTGGAACTATTCAATAAATCAGTAAATTATATGTGAATGTAAACAAACACTTCTGGTTGGCTATTATGAAAATAATCTTATTATTATTTTACATACAATGAAATTAATGTTTTTTTTCAATGATGGTAGATCTGTCTAACATGTACAAGTTACATTATTTTACTCAAAATCTGATCTTTTAGGTTCTAATCCTAGATGTCTTCTTGCTGTATTTTATAATATAATACAGTACCTACAGACTGTCACAAGTAGAACTTTAAATTTGTCTAAAAAAGCTATCAACTTACAACCACTCTTACCGAGATGTAATCAAACTTTAGTGTCTTATTAAAAAAAAATTCATACAATTCCATAAAAATACATATTTTTAAAGTAATTCTTTAAAATAAAAAAGAAACATTTATTAATTTAAAAAGATGCATCATAACCTTGGGAAAGGAAGTAAAAATTTAAACCACCCTTTACTCTGCAAGAAATTATTGTTTACCCCTGTTAAACTTGTGCATTATTGGCCTCTACTATTTCTGACAGTAATTCATTCTGTAAATCAACCAACCTGTCAAAAAAAACACAATTGTATAAATTGGAGGCTAGCTCATCTTTCCCATATCTTAAGCTTATCTTTTCCTTAGTCCTACATTATGTAGGATATACAGTGCCAGTTCAAGTTCAAGAATTGAAGGGTGCAAAAATATAACATTGTGCTCTTTTTCAAATTGTTAAATAATTTTTTAAAATTTAGAATATAGAGTATAAAAATGGTACACAGTAGAGAAATACATTTAAAGAAACAAAGACTAAACTTTAGAAAATGGTACATAAGGAGCTTTTAACATGGCAAACCTTTTCATTAATTTGTTCATATTAATTTCTCTGGCCATTAATTTTCTATAGACTGTTTAATGTATCTTGTATCATTGTGAAATGCAAAAATGTTTTTACCAATTTTGGTCTCAAAAACAATATTTTGTCACTTGCCACATTAATAGGCAATGTTAATAAAATTATTAGACCAATAAATGTATTTGAAACAATTTCATTTACTTGGTTTTCACATATATATAAAATAAGACCTTATCTGGAGTTGAATTTTCCAGTATTCAATGTAATATTAAGATGGAGAAACTGAAGACTAATAATGAAGAAGGTTGCTAAAACATACAACACTTTATTTACAAGGTTCGAACATTTTGGAATATCCTAATTCTATTTTCAGCTAAATCTGAAACTCATGATAAAAGATTATATTATAATCACTAGTTTACTTAGTTATTAAGAGAAATCTATAGGTCACAGTATTTCATTTAACATTTTCTCTATCATTACTACAGGATCTTCAGACCTAGAACTCTACATTAAATAAATTTTACTCATGACTAAAGACCGCCTAACTCTTAAAGACTCATAAAGCTCTTTGGACACTTTCCAGTAAGTCAATATCCTTTCTTAAATAAGAAGACCACAACTGTACACAGTAATCCAGGTGAGGCCTAACTAGTGATTTGTAGAGATAATTACCTCTTTTGACTTGTATTAAATATAAGTACACCCTAAAAATTTATTAGTTTTAATACTAGTAAAAAAGCACTGCCTCAATGGTTTGAGCAACTTATTCTCCCCACTGTGATAAGATCCTTTTCTTTAGTCATGCTACTGAGTTGATTCCCACGTATATTAAACATGTGACCCAATTTATAACCAAAAGATGTGACTATTATCTTACATTTGTCAAATATTTTTTCAACTTATTAAATGATCTATATTTTATAGTACCTTAACATCCTCAATACAGCTAAAAGTACCCAAGAGTTTAATATCACCAGAAAATGTTAGTAATTTACTAATTATGCACCTATCAATATCATTAATGTACATAAGAGCAAAGGCCCAATGCTCAACTAGTAACAGCAGTCCAGTTTGAATGGACTCAATTAATAATTTTTTAGCTTTCTTCCATTTAACTACCCTAAGATCCAATTAAATGATCTTTCTCCAATCCCTACTGATGTAATTTTCTTAATGTCCTTGAAAAAAAATAACAGACTGATAATTTAATACTTCCTTTTGTTGAATTCATACTAGTTTTCATTAATATTTCATTGAAGCTTCTTTAATTGGATTCTCTAGAATTCCTCTCATCGCACAAGTACAATTAACTAGCTTATAATTTCAAGGGCAACTCTTATCAACACCTTTAAAAATCGAAGTAACAGTAGCTCTTTAATTCTGAGACACTTGCTATTTCTCTGTTGACCTACCAAAAATGAGAGAGAGAGACTCACATATAAGTTTTGACCACCTTGAACACCCTGGGGAAAACCTTGTCTGGCCCTGGTGTCTTATCTACTTTTAGCCTCTTAGTTTTCCTAAAGATTTATTATCTACATGATTCGGGTACATTCTGATATTTCTCATAAAATGCTAATGGTCAGGAATGTTGCCAATATTTTTTCTTGTAAGTAATAAGAAATTACTAAAAATTTAGCCCTTTCATAACCTTAAAAAATGGCTTCCTTCAAGGCTGAACTCCCATTCTAACATTATGCTTACCTTTAAATAAACCTAAAAATCATTGCTTTTAGTTTTAAAATTATCAGTCAGCTGTTTCATACAAGCCCTTTTAAATTTCCTAATTTCTTTTTACTTAATTAAATTCCTAGCCTTCCTATAGTACTGTAAATATTCCAAAATGTCTGTCAATGTAAATATCCTAAACTTACAACATTTATCCCCAATTTTCTCTTTATGTCTTTTGTGAGCCAATACAGTTTGATCTTCCCGTTATCTATTTTTTTCTCATTAGGAAAATGCCTATCATCTTTTAAGTGAGTGTTCCAATTCACTAATAACAAATCTTTTTTTCATGAACCCAAAACTGGTTTTCTCAAATCATGAGCCCCTTCAGCAAAGGAATTCTCTGTCCCTATCAAGCAGGCATCTGACTTACAATTTCCAACATTTTCAAAATAATAACAGCATTTATTTTGTACCTATATGTTTCAATACAATCAATGTATTCTTTTCTCAAGTTATACTACAATAATAACAAAAAAGAAATTAAAGTTAAAGACAAAAAGAGTGTAAAGTGGAAGTTGAGGTTAATGAAGGAAACTGTGTTTTACTTACATATACAATACCCTTGATCATTTTCTTCAACTTTTTACATTTGACTCTGTAACGCTCATTTGTTGAGGCATCAATACCAACACTTCTTATTCCATTCAACTGAAAACTGGAGATTTTATCTTTACTCGAAACCTCCATTCTTCTTTTTAGTTAGGTTATCTTACAGGAAGCCTGATCTTCAGTTTCAATTTAGTTAGTCAGAACCACAGCCTTATCTGAAAGTAAAATATTAGTACTGTTATACAGTATTTCAGTTTACAAATACATGAACATGTGTACTGATTAATCAGTCAAAATAAAATACTAAGGGTCAGTAATACTGCCAATATTTTTTCTTGTAAATAAAGAGATTACTTAAAAGTTTAGCCATTTCATAATCTTAAAAAATAACATTGCCAATGGCATCCTTTAAGACTCAACTCCCAACATACTTCATACTTAATTAGATTTCCCAATTTTTTTTTCATTTACAAAAAGAGCAACTGGAGACAGTACAATGGGCAATGACAAAAATCTATTTTACTTAAACATTTGCTATATATCTTACATCAGATATTAACAAACAATAAATACTGTTACTGGGATAATATACATATATAATTTATGGACTGTGGAGGCCTATCTCATTTTTTATTAAATCAAAGCTGAATGAAAATAACTTTCGTGACATGTAAGGCTAAGTGTACTTAACTACGTACATGTACACTGAAGATTTTACTAACGTGTTTTTAACTGAAACTGTGGGATGACAGTTTTCCTTTTTCAAAATTTAATTCACATTTAGCCACTGACAACATAATCATTTTGGATAGTCTGTAGTCATTTGATGAACTAAGAAATTAATACTGTGAAAGTTTTCAACATTATTATTCACAAAATTCATTGAAATTAATAAGGTACTCTTCATATCAGTAGGATTAATATTAAAATAATGATTGTTGTTTTTGGAGACAGATCATGTGAACAAGCAGTACATCTTTGTGTCTACATTGGTGGTTACACCTAGCATTTCATCACGTTAAATGTCACACAAATCAATAAGCTTGGATGTGAACAAATAAAACAGCAAAATTACTGGTAGGTGAATAAAAAGCTGAAAACTTTTCTAACACTGTGAAGTAATGTTTCAAAGTTTTATAGATGTGCTGAGATTTTTTCTAACACACATAGAAGGACTTTGTTTTCATAACATTACAGATATGACATGAAATACTTATGTGAATAATTTACTCTAAGGGCTTTAAAGAGAAACAGGTGATATGTTTTATGCCAAACATGTGGGTACTTAATATGAAAGCTAAAAGTCCAGACAGGTTTATCTTTCTTAGTTATTATGACAAATTATTTCTAACTTATTGAATTTTACTCACAGAAGTCAATACACGCAATATCACATTAAACAGTATTTGTATATGTTAATAGTAAATTGTTCTACTCACTAAATGTGTAATTTCATTGAAGAAAAGAAAAAAAATCCATAAATGATGTAGAGGCCTAACCTTTTCATTGTTTTGCTATTCCCTCTACAGTAGACAAGCTTCACCAAATTCACTGCTCATCACTACTGTCTAGCCTCGTATAGTAAAGAGTTATGGACTTTACATCAAAATCCTGAGAGTTAACATTTTCCTAATCTGAAAATGTATTTCCAATAGATACTCACCTCTTCATACAGCAGAAATGCTATTTTCCTTGTGTGGCTGCCTATGAGAGTTGCATACCACTAGCTTTGAGCTAACTCCCACCTAAATGCATGTGTTTAACATGAACTACAGTGGTGCATGATGACATCATCATGGAACAATAGCCCCCACCAATAGGAGGGAAAGACAACCTCCATTTGAAGTAACTCCCCTTATGCATGTGCACTCATCATAATTTCATTCTTAGACAAGGCAAGAAAAAAGGTGCACCATAAATGGGGAAGATTGGTGGAAATGTAGTAAGTATCTATCAGAAAAACATTTTCAGATTAAGAAAATATTAACTTCCATGACAATAACTCGCCTCCTCACACAGAAATTTTAGAATCCCACATTGAAGTAATAAAGGGGTCACTGTAAAATATTAAACTTAGATGAACTCCTTTCAGAAAGTGTCAAAGAGAAAGCCCATAGAATGTGACACCTGATGGCAAGGGCTCCATAAGAGCACAAGTGTAGGAGACTGCATCTCATCTTGATTAAGGTATACTCTTTGCCTGAGATGAAAGGGAGGGAAAGGCAAAAGCCTCAAGTGTCACACAAGTGGTCAGTGAGCCAATATGTGTAGTGCGGTCAGTGTATGATTAGCACATATAGTGTGTGCTCACCTCAACTCTACTGGACAGACTCTGGCTGCAGGAGGAGGGCACATTAACTAGATGTAGGGTGACCCATACTACAATGACAATGTCATCACTGCCCTACATCTCATCATACTGTGCTAACCCCAACTAGTCAGGATTCTTCATGGTACACCATCACAGCAGCAAAGAACTGTTAAGTGGCAAGGGTCTCCTGTGCTCCACTTGATGAAGGGAAGAGGATTTGTGTTGGGGAGACCCAGAGAAGTGCCCAGATCCCTACCAAACTACCAGATGGAAAGATCTTTTACTGGAGACAGTGCAATGGGTGACACCAAAATCCTATTTTTCAAAATGCAGACAAGCAACAAAAGTCTTAGGAAGATAAGATCAGTCCAGGTAGAGGAGAATGCAAGTTTGGTGGAAAAGGATGCATGAATCATAAATAGTATAAACATCCAAATGATGGTGACCACAGGTGAGAATGAAGAGGAAATAAATCTTCAGAGAAAGGTAGGACAAAGAGCAAGAAGTCAACAGTTCAAACAGAGCATGTGTGAGAGCAAACAAAACCATATTAAGATCCCAATTAGGCATGGGGGTTGGGTGATGAGGTTGGTGATGAAGGAAGGAGCAGAACAGAGTGGAGAGGACAGGGTAAGGAAACATCCTATGGTACTGGGAATATCAAAATGTAGTGGACAACACTGCCTAAAACAAGCAAACCCTGGTCAAACAGTCAAAAAATGCAGAAAGGTAGTTCACAAAAGGATGGCCAAGAGAAGAAAAGCAGCAGATGACAAGAGGAAGGCTACAAGATTGAAGAGTCCAGCCAAACAGGTGATGAATAAGATATATCCTATAGATGAAAATGAAGTGATGATATTCCTAGAAGAAAAAGAGATGAGACTGAGGCAGTAGAGGGGACATTGGGTAGAGAAAGGGGAGGGGTCTGAACACTAAGTGAAGAAGTAGAGGAAATCAAGGCCAAAAAGGCACCACCAGGAGGACTTGACAAGGAGTGTCATGTATCAAGGCAAGAACCCAAGGGAGGAGTTGAAGAGAAGGATATGCATATAGAAAAGTCTGGCTAAGAGCATCAACAACCAGAACCAAAGAATAAGAAACAGGGGACCAGAAGAGAGGAAGCTTGGAGTTGAGAGGGGTGGTAAAAGTGGCCATGAGAGGTATGCCCAACCAAGAGCAAACCCAATGAAAGACCTGAATGTGGATGGACCATTACATGGGTAGAATGAGGTTTTGCCAAGTGAGGGGATCTACAAGGTTCATAGTTCTTAGTAAAAAACAAGCAACAAGATGGATCTGATAGGAATTAGCCCAGAAGAGGAACTCCAACAACCAAAAAGAGAGTCCCTGAACAGATGCCTCCTAGATACTTGATGTTAGAAACAGCTGTGGAATTGTTGGAGTGGATCATGACCTAATGATCCATCAGACAAAGTAGGAAATGGGAACATGCCTGAGAAACAGCAACAAGTTTGAACACATTGATGTGGAGTGAACTTTCATCCTGGGTCCAAACAGAAGTCATGTCATTTCTTAGACATGTGCTCCAATCTGAGAGGAAAGCACCAGTGAATAGAAGGGGGAAAGGTCTGGGGGGTGGTAAAGGAGCACTAGATGTAGCATTGGCATGGTCTAGCCACCATGATAAGTCCTCTAGTAGAAGAAAGGAGAGGTTCACAATTGAAGACAATGGATCTTAAAAAGAACCAAATTGGTCTTGCAAAGTCCATTCGATGAGGCACATGTGTGCATGCCCCAAAGGAATGAGGTGCTCCAGGGAAGCCAGAGTGCCCCAAATCAAAAGAACCTCTTGTGCAGAATAAAAAGTGCAAATCTTGGTGACCAGCTGAGACAAGCATTGAAAAAAATGCCCAGATGTACCAAATATCATGTGGGCATGATTAAGTACTTGTACTGGGGTCAAGGGTAGGAGAAAAGGAAATGGGAAGAGGAACAAAAAGAAGAGAGGAGAGAGAACATAAAAAACAATCTGTTCATCTGCAGAAAACAGACCCTATGGGTAGTTAAGAGAGAGATAGAAGGATACCCACTGGGCCTGAGTCAACAGGATAGTCACCAACAAAAAGTGTGACAAACTAGTCATCAGGTAGCAAGAGAACAAAGAAAAGAGGAAGGCCTGGAAACCAGAATGGGAAAAGTTGAGAAAGATAAAAAAAAACATGGGAAAATAACAAGGACCGAAGTCACATTACTTCAGCTTAGGTCTCCAGTGAAACATGAAAACCAGTGAAGACTTCTAAGTAAAGAAAGAGAGCCTGACTGCTGAATATACAAGACTGTTTAGTTTAAGAGTTATTATTTAGTATATTTAGTGTTCTAATATTTAATGATTATTTAGTATTCATAATATAACAAGTGTTAAAAGTTATTTTAAAAGCAATGAACTGTAAATGAGAAGAGCTGCTTCCATATAAGGAAATCCTTCAGAGGTTTAGGGAAAGAAATAGATGTGTAGCCCTTATGAGAGTGCTCTAAAAGTAAAAGGATAGATGAAGGAATGAATTCCTTAGCAAGATCCAAGGTTTAAATGAAAGATTATCAGGAATATGCTAAGAGCAACAGGTGGGCTGGTTGGATCTGCGAGATAATTTTCAAGGTAAGGGTAAATTATAAGCTAGAGGTAGGCTCCACTTAAGCAGTTTTAGATAGTAGGGTGTATGGAGAAGGTGTAAATATATTCATTAGAGATAGTTTACACTCAATTTGCATAGTGATGATGCAGTTTGGGAATAAACAAACTGACAAGTTAAATAATAGTTTTAAAGATAAGTCTGTCAGTTTTAAATATATATATAGTGCATTCAACAATATGCCAAGTTGCTTACTATTCTAATCTTAGTAGTAGAAGGAACAAAATAAACAAGTTGAAGTCTCTAGTTGAAATGAAAGACTACCATACAATAGAAATTACTGAAACTTGGTTATGTTTCTAAAATATTGATAATGGTAATTATTTTGAAATTTCAGGTTAAAAGTTAATAGTGATAAGCATTTTAAAATAGGAGTGAAGTAGCCCTCCATACAAGGTATGACCTGAATCCTGCTGGTAATGAAGAAAAAAAAAAAAGATAAATAAGAGGTTGATTAACTGGTTTACTCATATATCTTGTAGCATATAATTAGTATAAGTAATACACTTTTTAAACCACAGTTATTTACAAAGCAAAGACAATTTGCTACATGTTTCAACCCCTTTTGTTCATATCACCATCAGGTTGATTCTACAAAGGTTACAACAGGGGTTTTGAGAGCAGAATTTTTTAAATTGGTATTTGTTATAGGCTATCTGATCAGACAGATGAGATCAGTGAGAAATCTTATATTGAGATCAGGATTGTTACTTAAAAGAATACTACTGCTGTAATTATAATACTTTAATTTTAGACACACTGATTGTATACTATGGAGTTAAACAGTGAGAAAGGGTTTTTTCTTAAATAATTCAGAATGGTTTTCTATACCAAAATAAAATGGCAGGGAGCCAATTAGAGAGGATACAATTTTAACTTTGTTTAGTGCAAACTGGAGTTTATTAATAGGTATTGCTATTAGAATTTAAAATAGGATAAGTTACTTGGATCACTTGATTGGTAGTACAGTATTTATTATAGTAAATGCAAGATAAAACACTGGAGTTATGACTGAAAAAAAAAAGATTGTGGCATAGTTGTTGATAAGTTATTGAAGCCATCAGGATGGTACTCTGTTGTTAGTAACAAAGCTAATAGAAATTTTGGGTGTATTTATAGACATATTGATTACAGGACAAAAGAGGTAATCCTTTTTTTTTTACAAATAACGAGTTACACTTCATTTGGAATGTAGTGTACAGGTTTAGCCTTCTTACCCAAGAAAGGATATAAACTTATTAGGAAGGGTTAAGAGAAGGGCTATTGCCAGCACTAGGATGATTTTGGGATTATCTTTCAGGGATAGGTTAGGAACATATTTTCCACTGAGAAAAGAAACGTAAGGTGGTGATCTTTTCCAAGATTATCTGGTGGACTGAAAAGATAAAGTTCTTTGATTCCTTTGCCCTACATTCCAAGGACAATAGGATGAGAGGACACAAGATCTGAAAAAGAAAGGCTAGGCTCCAGTTAAGACGGGTTTATTTTTCTAACAGGATGACTGGCTTAAGGAATGGATTGCTGATAGCAATAGTGAAAGACAATATTTTACAACAGTTTAAATGAGGAATCAAAAATTTCCTGAAAAATACATGGATAGGTTAAGTTTTTAATTTTTCTCGAAGGTGGGTGTGAAAAGATAGCTTTGACTGGCCAAATGGTATATAACTTATACGTTAAACTTATTGTTTATATGTTATCAGTAACACAAGATTATTCATACGGTTAGCGTTTCACTTGCTGGACACGTGTCCTGATCTTGTATGTGCTTTTAACAACTGTTGGAACTTTTTGATAGGTACATGAATGAAGGGCTACACTGAATTTGGATTTGATGTTTTTGTTTGGCGGGTAGAGGGGCAACATCATTTGGCTAAATGAATCTATCTATCAATTTTTTTATTTTTGTTCCAATATAGTTGGTTAGATCCAACTGGGTAGCTATGTTATACAGTTGAACTGCTCACTAGGTCCCACTGTCTAATTTTGTCAATCAAATTGACTAGTTAATAAAATCATGCTCATAATTAATTGACTTTAATTTTTCAAAATGACCACAAAATAAAATAATGACAATTTTCAATAACAGAAATTATGCATATAGTAGTAACCTTACTATAACTTATAAGTTAAATTAATACAACTTTACTACATCCAAGCTTCATATTCTTCAGTTGCTACCAAAATGCTAGTTTATTTAATCTAATTAGAGTATGATTACCAGGAATGAATTCAGGAAACAAACACCTTCTATGGCTCCATAGAATCACATCTAATTTCAATTCAAGTTCATGATTAATTTTCACTGCAGTGTTAACACTAACAACAGTCAAGTCTAGATCAGTGCATAAACAACGACAATGCTCGTAGGTTCCACTTCACCTTGTGGTAAGTATTAATACTATTAGCATTAATGATTAAGTCTTACATACGGATATTTTTGATGATATACTCTCAGCCATATTTTTTTACTATTCCCACACCCTACTACTAGCACTAGTAAAAGTAGGATATTATTTACTTTAGTATTAATAAACTGTTATTTATGTTAATTATTAGTATTTATAAATATATAATAAAACACAAGTGAATCTTTTTGATTTTTTTGGTTATATATATATATAAACACATACTACTGGTAATGTACCCCAGTGGCACGTTTGCGGACTTATACGTCTACAATTACAAACCGGGTTTCGATACCTGTACAGATACTGAGATAGCCCTTTGTGTAGCTTTGTACTGAATAATAATGAACAACATTAACAAACAACAACTAATACTAGTAATAGTACACCGCACTCAGTTACAAAAGAGAAAGTAATTTTATACAGAAAAGTATTTGCAACTTTTCAGGTAAAAAGATAATTTATATTGAAAATTTGTTAGGAATGCTTAAAAAAAAAACAACAAAGATTTTATCTAACACTTATAGTTCTACATGTTTCCAGGCAAAGCAAACCACGCACGAGAAAAGTTTCTAAAAGCTTATTTTACTTGAAAATATATTCTTAATCCCTTTACTAGTATGGAAAACAAAACGACTCTATCTTGGAAATATATATTTGAAACTCAACAAAAAATATTTAAAAAAACACAAATAAATAAAAATAAATATTTTGATCTATGTAGTGATTTAGACGCACATAGATATTTATATAAAAAAGTTAATTACTTTCTCAATGTTACAGGCTGAAGAAGTTTTCACTAGTACTTTCATATTATAATATACATCGAATTGAGTAATGTTTTTAAATAGCATGATCCCGGCCCTGTTTCTATGTATATTGTACATATATTAGAAAAAAATTGTTTGATTTCTTGTTTTAGTGCAAAGTGATGCAAGAAGCTTTGCAAGTCCATAAGCTTACCACTGACCCACTGGGGGAAAATATGTTTGAAACTTAAAATAAAATAAGAATTTTGATACATGTGATGATTTACATGTACACAGATATTTACATTGATGGCATCAATACAAGAACAGCCAAATAAACAAGAAGAGAGACAACAGCAGTTGCAAGAAAACCAGCAACAGTGACAGCTCGAACAGCAAAATAAACAAGAGAGATTACAGCAGTTATTGGAGGCAAAAGAAAATAAACAAGAAGAAAGATTACAGCAGTTGTTGGAGGAAAAAAGAAAAGAAACATTAAATCATTAAAAAATGATTTACTGTCTTTTACACACGGAGGATATATCAGCCATCGACCTAATCAGCCTCAGACAACGGGAAGCCCCTTCCAGGCCCCGCAGCTAAACCCTAATGCAGACATCTTCAGTCCTATTAGAAGTCACATCCCAGATATGAATGTTAGCAATAGGGGTGATCTAGTACTGGAAGGCCTACAATGGAGGATAGCCCTAGTGTACCTGGATGATGTCATT